CGCTATCAACGAGCGCGCGATAGAGAAACTGACTGGGCAATCCATTTGCGAGTCTTTACATAGACCACCAGGACAACGTATGTAACAGTGTGTGGGCCAAGAGCTGTCTGGTGCAGGGCGCCCTACTGAGACCACACTCGAATCTGGAGGCGTACACCTTACCAAGTAGACGTGACCCCAAATTACCATGGCAACTGTTGGCATAGTTACGCCAGGGATTAATAAAAACTCGCACCAACGTCTCCGTGGCACTTTGTGACGACGGATAGCACACAGCTCAGCACTGGCTTGTGTGCCAATGCATGAGCACAATTCATTGAGACTCAGTACCGTTTTTTCCTTTTTATCCGTTTTATCTCATTCGAAGCCACTTGCAAGGTTAAACCCTGGTGTCCCAGTCCTGGGCACGGCCCTCGCCTAGTTGTGATACATGTTGGTGACTGTCACACAGCCACAACCCACCTGGAAAAGTTGCACAGAAGACAACATGCCAGTGATAGTGATGAACATGCGGACTATTTGGTACTACGTACTTGGTATGGCCGCTGCAAAAGGGACCCATCCGCACCTCCGTGGACAACTCGATCTTCGGGATGCGTGTCGTGCGTGTGCATCTCGATGCAATCCGGAACACAGTTGCCGATAGTGATCATAGAACCTGCATGTTTATAAACTGTTGTTACACACATAGGGCGTGTACAACCTTTGCAGGCGCTGACTGGGGAGAAGTCGGGGCGTATAAATGGTGTATGGGATCAGATACACGTACACGGGTGTACATTTTACTTAGTCTGCCAAAGGAAAAAAGCCACGGGTGTATTAACCGCACCGAGCGTAGCATTGACAGTTGAGATGAACTCAAGTTGTACGGCAATCGATAGGCTCTACGCGACGCTGAGGATTTGCACACGAGCCCATTAAGGCTTGCACTCATCCGAATGGCCCTAAGCAGATACTCTGAGAGCAGCATATCTGATGTGTGTGCCATTATTAGAGCCCGTTAAGGCTTGCACTCCTCCGAATGGCCCTAAGCAGATACCCTGAGGGCAGCATATCTGATGTGTTTGCCATTATTAGAGCCTGTTAAGACTTGCACTCATCCGAATGGCTTTAAGCAGATACCCTGATGGCAGCATATCGGATGTGTGTGCCAATATATATACAGCTTAGTCTGAGTGCGAAACCCGATGCACCCGGCCATGCGCCACATACACACTACGGGTGGTGATAGGGATAGGCGCAACTAAGTCGTGAAAGTGGGTCGTCTCACTGCAAAGCTCTTGTCCTAGTCCCAGTCCAAGGTGGGCTTTCCCAATGCAACCCCAGTCCAAGGCGTTAAAACCACAGCGGGGTTACTCGCATGGCGTGTTGGCGCACAGGGCCCATTCCGTTGTGTACGGATACGGAAACAGCCCCAGCGGACCCCAGGGTGTCTTGCGGCTGTGCTTGGTCGACCGCTTGGTCGACTCAATCACTCTCTCTGAGGGGGTGTCATCTCATCTCTTGGTGACCACCAGTAGAAGCGGATAGTGCAGATCAGGGCTGTAGCACGCACTACCCACCAGCCGTGTGTTGGCCTCCCACACGGTCTCGTCGTATCGCTCGCTCAGTTGATACTGTAGCTCTGGGTGTGCGGTGTCCAGCACACTCAGAAAGCTCTGTAGTGTGCTTCCTCGTCTGGGCTGAATGAATACGGCCATAGACGCAGCGCTACTGGTGCCGGTCGCAGTGTCGGTTGGTGCGTGTAGGGTACGAGGCCCGAGAGCACTCGCCCGCCTGTCTGGCCTGTCACCAGCATCCGCAGGTACGCCTGTTGTGATATGCGTGCTCCCCCCATGTAGTAGATTATCTGCCGTAGTATTGTGAGGGGTGCTGTCTCTCTCAGTCCCCCCATGTAGTAGACTATTATCCGTAGTATTGTGAGTGGTGCTGTCTCTCACAGTCCCCCCATGTAGTAGACTATTATCCGAAGTATTGTGGGTAGTGCTGTCTCTCTCAGTCATCAGGTAGCTGTCTGTGTGCTGCGTAGATGGTGTACTATCGGGTGACCGGGTGAGGCCTTGAGGGGTGTGTGGTTTGAGTAGCTTGCTGATCAACGCCGCCATCCGCGCGTGTGTATCGCGGAAGAACAAGCTGTGTAGTGAAGTAAGGGGGGGTGGAGGGAGTGTGAAGGGGGTGTGAAGGGGGTGTGGGTGAAGGGGGGGGTGAAGGGGTGTGGGGGGTGGATGGGTCACTACGCTGAGTGGGAGGGTAGATGATAACAAAACTCAAGCGAGCTCTTGCGTTGTTTAAAAACTCCGACTTATTATCGACATACCAATCAGCGCATACAATGACATCCACCGCCGACTCGAATAATTCGGCTACCGGGGTCGCAGGATCCCAAACCAGTCTCTCGCACGTCGGTTCAATTCCTGATTCCCTCTCAATGTCCTCCGACGTCTCCGCTTCTGTATCTGTGCGAGAAACGCGCCAATGTGATTGTGTGAGACTATGGTGGTACTGATCGGATTGCCGCTCCACGGCTCTCGCATTGTGCCGTTAGAGTCTTGGGCAAGCGATATACGACAGGTGGCATGGGGCTCTGGAAAAGATCTTGCAATTCGGTGTATGCAAAACAGGGTACGGAATCATACCCCACCCCTCACCCGTGCCGCAGAAAACGGGCCCGTCTGCCCCACACGAGTACAACAAAACGACGAAACGTGGATAAATTCTGGCGCACCTGTGGATATAACGACACAGTTGATATATGTGGGAGAGCTCGCAAAGCCCAGGTCATTCCGGGATACGATAGGTTATGGTCAGTACCCGCTATATGACAGCTCAATACACATGTCATCAAAACACAGTTGCAAAACCCTAAACCCTGAACCCTAAAACACAGTTGCATTCGATACGGATAGGATACAGAAAGACATTCAGGACGTCATTGGCAAGCGAATTTCTCTCTCGAGTCTCTTAACTATAATAACTGGAAACGACGCAGTTTGTGCACTCGCACTTCCCATGATTTACAGACAATAACACCTAAACCCCTCATCAAACATGCACGACTGTGCATATCGAACAGACACGGCACACCACGTACACCCGCCATATAGATACACTTAGTCCCACCAACAAACCCCTTTAAATCTCTCTTTTGTACAGACGACCCACCTGAACGTGGCACGGGGAGATAACTATCTGTGTCCCCGAGCAACTTCTTACACACACCAACAGATCCCTCATGTAACTTCTTACACACAACAACAGATCCCTCATACCCCTCCTCTTCACAGACCACTCACCTGAACGTGACACGGGGTAATTGCGGTCTATGTTCTCGCGTAGCTTGTCCACGCTGTGCTCGTTGCCGTCCGTAAGCACCACCGCCTTTGAACTGCAGTCCATGGCTATAGCCAGACCCGCCAGACCTGTCATTCCCGCCCCCAATTCCAGCACTACTTTGTTCCTGTGACGTGGGAGTGAAGTTGAAGTGGTGTATGTCAGTAGAACCCGACACGTGTGTGGATTCTAAGTGTGCCTTGTGGCTGTGGGTGGGGTATGGGGTGTAAATGTGCTGTGGCAGGGACACCGGCTGAGCATGATTATCCAGATAGGACAACCCGGTCCCCTGTGTTGTGGACTCTGGTTGTGAAAGCATTGCTTCGACAACACTCGCCACGCAGGTCAATCTTAATAGTACACTTGCATACTGCATTCCCATCCGCGCAAGTGTATGAAACGGAAGGACAAGATCCAATAAGGGTATCTAAGCACACAGAAGTGATGCTGTTGTTGGGCTGGAACCGCTCAAACACAAGCCTTCACAATGCTTTAAAGTACAATGTACACAGCGGTATGCGCAAAGGTGTCACTACAGCTACGACAATTGGTGTATACCCGGTGTACCGTGGAGATCTGTCACTACGAACAAGTCTGCGTATAGGCCAACTGTTGGGTTACAAGCTCGGTCTGACGCAGGTAGCGGCCTAAGCACAAAGCGGTGTGATACAGTCTCCGCTCACCCGATCGAGAAGAGAACTCTCTATAGACGACGTTACAGGTGTCAACTATAAACCCTAAAACCCTAAACCCCCCCCCCTGTGTATGTATGTGTTGCCCGCACACCTCACAACAAACAAGAAAGCGTAGGCGTGGCGGTGGTGACGGTTCTCCCGCTATAACAGGCCATGCACCAACACATAGAACTGCGCGTACAACACCAGACACGTTATGAGTCACTCGCTACCGGTGCATGCATCACTTCTTGTGAACACCTGGAGGGGTACTGGATGGAGCCGTTCTGGGGGTAGCCACTAATAGAAGTGTCCACTACACAAATGTGTAGATATTAGTGTAGATATTAGTGTAGATATTAGTGTAGATACTAGTGTGGAAATTAGTGTAGATATTAGTGTAGATATTAGTCTAATACAGTGTAGCCACTAATATCACACAGCTACACTGCATGATATTGAATGATAATCCTATACGCTCAGTAGCCGCCGTAGATGCTATCGAGCTCAGTATGAGATTCATTCGTTTACGCCTCTATACACCTGAAGAAGGCTGTCCTAATCTGACAGTACTGCCAACACCGGACCGAATGTTACCAGCATTCACAATCAGTAGTATACACACCTGAACAGCTGTTATATGCATTCACAATCAGTAGTATAAATACCTGAACAGATGTTACATTCACTCACAATCAGTAGTATACACACCTGAACAGCTGTTATATGCATTCACAATCACTAATATACACACCTGAACAGATGTTACTTTCACTCACAATCACTAATATACACACCTGACCAGATGTTACATTCATTCACAATCACTAATATACACACCTGAACAGATGTTACATTCACTCACAATCACTAATATACACACTTGAACAGATGTTACATTCACTCACAATCAGTACCATACACACCTGAACAAATGTCTATTTCGTAAACAATAGTAGGCCAGTACCTCTTCCGATGGCCAGACGCACACATTCCCTGTGTTATCAAACCCAATCAGCGTGTTTGCGGAGATCGACTTGTGTCTTGTCGACACACTGAGTCGTATTGTCTGTTGCATCCTGCGTGACGCCCCAGTGATCCCCTCAATGCATTTGTGTGCATTGTCTGACGCATTCGTAAGACATTGTCTGGTTGTCTTATCTTCTCGATCGAGGGCCGTTTCTTTATCCTTATCATTCTGCGTGTCTACGGGATTGCCCAGTTGAGGCAAATAGTATGTCACATTTCCTTCTACCGTCCCGCTTGTATCCGTCTCAAACAGACCAAAAGACGTGAAATTACGAGTTGACCCTTCAACAATGCTGGAATCTCGGGCCACATTACCCCGCAGTAGAGCATCGGCGAGTATACGCCACCGGTGTTTGGCTACAGACCGCTTATGCTTTGTTGCCCTGTGTGTGGGCTCATCAGTAGCTTGTACTTTGTTAACGCCATCGTGTGACCAGTTACTGGTAGTGTGTGAGTTGTTAACTGTATTGTCAGTCCAGCCCTCCTGGGACATTGTGGACATAGTGAACGTAATTATACAAACAAATTCCAGACCACTGTAGTTGTATTTAGAGGATATGAAGGTGCTTACGGCAACTGTTATTGGGAATTACACACGCGGTTAGAACGCTCACAAGGATGGATGTGTATGTATATCCCCGATGTACTGTATTCTGTATAAATATGTACCGGCACTTTCTATTTATTTTGTTTTGCTCTGTTCTATGGCATTTCGGGATAGAAGTACTTCCGCAGGGTTTTGACCCTACAGGTAGAAGTTCGGTATTTCTTGGATGCACCTAATGAACTGGGTGTCCGGGAGTCTGGGACACTCTTTACAAATTATTAGAGAAGGCCTGTGGAATGTAAATAAAGAACTATCGGGCCATGATACCGTTCATACTCACACGCGAGTCGAGACTACTGATGCCGTTGTAGCTCTACTTAATGGACTATAACCACTCCATGTATCCTTTATACTCTAGTAGACTACTGGTACCCCTCCGACTCTCTCAACTACCTATACCCTTCTAACTCTTGGCTGCTTGGGTAGTGGGAGGCCACAAGTGTACGGGAGCATGGCTATGGACATGCAGGTGAACTATGATATACACAGTCAACCTAGGTGATACGTATATGCAACCTACTACATAGATACACATGTATATATATCCTACTAGACATACGGGTTGAGATGTGGTTATAGCACCACTGATCCGTAAGCATGATCCGTTTCACGCACGCACCCAGTCAGCGTGTAGCACTGGCCTACAATCCGCAGCAGAGTCGCATTTACTCGTTATGGCGACTAAATAGTGGTCCCGAACTGTTATGCACCCGAACCCGCACACCTAAGGTTAGGACCCTTTCCAATATGGCGGTACATATACCTGTACAGGTGCGTATGTGTAAGCTGAAAGGTGTATCGAAGTGCTTGTGCCAGCTTTCACGAAGAGATACATTACTCTCGTGTAACAGCCCATCGCGCTCCCTGCACACATCGGCTCACAAATACACATACACCCACAGTAGGTATACCTACTACAGCAATCCAAACAGGATACACACGGATATGCACACACAACAGTACACGGTTAATAGACCACGCTCACAACAACGTAGCCATTCAAGGGCCACATCGCACTGTATAGGGCACGCACAGCCCAGCTCCGTTATGCCTGGAGGGGCGTTTGAGATGGGACATCCACGTAGAAGCAGCCTACTGTTGTCGAGAGTGTGTGGATCACATAACACCTCCAGGCCATGCAATACTGCGAGTGGGGTCTCGGATGCACAATTTAGAACATATAACTACAACCACAGTAGGGAAAGATTAGAACGACGGTGTCACGGCATGTGTAAGCCGCCAATTAATAGGGCACTGGCGACTGCCTCCCGTGCAGCTATCAAGCCAGCGATGTACAAGAGAGCGGTGAATCCTCGGATCTGGAATGATCAAGCTATGATAACCTTCTCACGTATGTAAATACCACTAGACTACCATATTGTCGGGTGGATCTGCTTTTCTGAAAGTGGTGTGGGTTTGTGCTCGGTTGTATGCGCTCATGAACGTGTGTGTAAGTGTATGATGGAGTGTCTATATACTATCGTTGAACACGGTCACGCGTGTATGCATGCTTCTATGAGTTTGTGCAGTTATCTCCACAGCGTGCATGTGCGTTCGAGGAAATGTGTACATATGTAAAGGAAAGAACACAACTGCCGAAAGAGTTATACGTAAATTATATATATAAACATACATGTGTATGTGTACGTTCAGGTGTGTCTGTGTATGTGTCTGTGTTTATGTCTCTGTCTGTCGTATTTGTGACTGTGACTATATCTCTGTGTTTTGTGTCTGTGTATTTATTTTTATACCATATATATATATATATATATTATATATATATATTATATTATATATATTATATATATATATATATATAATTATATATTATATATATATATATATATATATATATATATA